TGTTACCTATGCATCTCTGCAAATATTGTTGGTATCTGAAAGACCTAAAAGCATGAGGCTTGTAAATATAAGACAACCTCAAAACATAAGCAACACTGTCATCTGTTCCTTTTCCCTACACATTCCAACCAGAGAGACGATTCCACTGGCTGGCCCATCCGAACATCTGAGGCCAGTGTAGTGGGAGTCTTCCACCCCCAGCAGTTCAACCCCGATGCAGGTATTTTCTCAATCCAGCATTCCTGTGCATTAGACTGTCCATATCCAAACGACATGAATGTAACTTACAATACCTGCGTTTTGCCAACAACGCACTCCTATGAACAACCCGATCCAAGACCACACAGGCCCGCACGGAAGCTTACCTTCCACGTGGCGGCATTGCGTCGGAAGTAAGCAAACATTCGTGTGAACCAGTTATAGATTTCATTTAGTGTTAGCTGCTTTTCTGGAGATTCGAGAATGGCCTGCGAAGCAAACGTTAACAGCAAAAGATAATTTATGACCAAATCAGCAGAATTGTCAGGGTACCCTTTCTTGAAAATATAACTGTGATGCCGAGCTAAATCCTAAGAAAGGCTTCACAGAATGATCTAAGATTAATGGCTGTATTTACCAGTTCAATAGCAGAATCCAAAATGGAATTATCTAATTGTTTTGAGTTTTTATTTCTGTTTCCGTACAGAAATATTAATTTATTAGTCATTCATAAAGCAGAATCAAAGAGAAATGCAAAACATTTCACTAGCTGATTAAAGCTCAGTAATTATTTAGAGCTCAGATTAATTCTAGGGATCAGAGATTACTGTAGCTTGTGATAATTGACTTGCCATCTTTAAACAGGCTCATTTTCACTGTTGTGTGAAATGAATTTCCTAATAATCACATCGTATTGTAATACTTAATCAAAAGCAATTATGTTATATATTGCAGTTTTAAAAAACCTTATAGAAAAGGTTTTAGCATGCTTGCATACTAAACGGTTTTAAATCTACTTCATCAATATAAATACCTTCCGGTATCATTGCACACACTGTGCTGTTTACTTACCTGCCTAATTAAAGATGCATATGTAAATGGTGGTCTAACTTCCGCGTTCTTATAAAATTCTTGGTTCTGCGCAATATCTGCTAAATAAGAATCATTGTCCTATTAATTATCACTTTTTAAAAAGAGGCTGGTCTGCAAGAGCTGCCGTCTATAATTCCCCGTGAGGCAAACATGGAGAATCTACCTGAAGAAATGGGCACGTTGTACTTGTCTGAGTACCGCCTGCGGATGGGTCCCACCGTGTGCATGCTGGTGGTGGTGATGACGGAGGGGCCTTGGGTGACGGGAGTGATGGGGGCGGTGGGGGTCGTCGGAGTATGAGGTAAGCTCTGTGGAGAAGCCTCTGATGCAGATTTGGAGAGTGTGACACTTGACACCAGATTCAGCTGCGAGAAAAGGAACAGTTCTTAGAAGACCTTCAGAAAAACGCAGCAACGCTCCCCCCCCCCCGCCGCCCCCCAGAGCATCTGCAGTCCCGCAGGAATGAGAGCACGGAGGCCTGGCTAGTTTTATTTCTCTAGGTAGATGTTGACAATCAGCTGAAAGAGGAGCTGAGTTCCTATGTAAAAACAATACACCGAGTGGTTGGCTTAAAATATCTCTTGCAATGTCCTACCATCCTGTTGTTCAGAAGAGTGTTTCCCAAAGACGATTCAGTAAGTCTTTACAGACACAGGAAGGGGTTACCCCGCCTAGTGAGCCTGAGAAATTTGGGGTCAAAAGATTTCTTTCCCCACGCCTTTGCACCTTTCTCACAGCCTGCTCGGCCTCGGAAACCTCAAAGAGAGAGATGGAGCCCTGGGAGCACCAGTGAACACACCCGCTGGGATTCACTGGTGCCCACCTGAGCTCTCCAACTGGGACGAGAGAGGAACTGTTTTCCTTAATCCTCATAAAAAGTAAACTGCTACTTAGATAGCCACGTGTACCCAGTGGCGACACCACACTGGACAGCCCAGGGAGACGCGACCTCAGCTCCACGCTGCAACTTCACGACACAACTACCGCGAACAGGTTTGGCCCGTGACTCGTCTTCAGAAGAGTGGCAGCCATCCTGGAAACATTCGCTCAGTTCCATGACTTGGCAGAGACTGATCTTTGAAAGCTTTAAGTGTAATGTTCACTCAACTCTAGCAAATATGGGATTGGAATCTATTAGCTTAAAAAGAACATGGCACGTGAGAGATCTGCACCTGTACAATTTTTAAATCTTTTTCCTTCCAATTTCAGATGTGTCGTAACAGAAATGGAATAATCTAGTGCATCCAGTAAGAGAATAAATACTATTTACTTGAAGTAGAAGAGACGAACAGCACCGCGTGCTGCTTGGATCCTCCCTTCTGTTTCGCCTTCCCTTTGAAGTGCTTCTCTTATTAACACTGGAAAAGAATGAGCTTGTCCCCCTTTCCAAAAATTTGTTGTTACTGAAATGTGAAGTCTGGCTACGCTGAAGAACTCGGTTGTTATCAACATAGCTGTTCTGGATCAACTGTAACGACTATCTTAGAAACTCGTAGCTGCCCCAAATCCAAGAAAGTCCAGCAAAGAAGGCTTCTTTGGTATCATTTTCTCAAACCAGATTTTAAATCACATAACACATTGTCTGTTTCACCACTGCCAACGGCGCTAAGTACAAGGCAGAATTCGTGGCAAGTATTAACAATGAGGCTCCTCCGAGATCACCATCAAAGAACAGGTAAGAAGACAGTTCCAATTCGTTGGGAAGAGTCAGCCCTACTCACACCCTAGTAATGAGAATGCTCAACCATCGCTGAGGAAAGATTCATGGAGCATGGAAACACGGTGCTGGAAACAATGCTGAGTTGCCCGCTTGCAGCTGGGCTTCCCTTTTTACCCCTCCCTTGAAATGCAGACTCAGCCAACACCAGACCTCCCCACCCCGACCCCACGCTCCCCTATGCGCTCCACCCCCCAACCTCCATGCCTGAGAAGAGCAAGCTGTGGAGATGGCATCCCCTCTTACAAACCCCCCAGCAAGCCGGGCAGGTGCCAGGAGCTGCTTTTTCACTCGTGCTGCAAACCTGACTTCACGACACACATTTGCGTACTAAGTGCTCACAGTCCAGTGTAGCGGCCGTGGGATGGAGCGGAGCTGAGAAGCCAGGCAGGGAGGCCTGGGCTGACCTCCCCTTTGCTCTGGGCCTTAATCACTAACCAAACGCAGGAACAGTCTGTATGAGCATTGGCCCAACCACGGGTCAAGGAAACTAGCGCACAAAAGGCGAGGGCTCATAACTGCCCAGCTTTTAAAATTCAGACGCTGTCAGACCTAAGAATACCAGCAGGCTCAGGAAAGGCATGGACACCATTTGTAAAAATCCTGCTGTAAACCACCTGCCACTGCCTGGTTTCACTTAAGTCTCACACCATCACTAATACTTGAGACGTTAGGACTCATATTTTACAGAGAAGCAAACAGAGGCTCACGGGAGATTAAACCACTTGCCCATCACAACCTGGACTCAAAACATGCACTTGTGATTCGAGGCCCTTTGTGTAATATTCTCCTTATGCCCAGATAATGGGAAAAATCAACGCTAACCAGTTTCATTTTTCTGCATGCTCATTTTTGGAAAGGATTCAGGGACTAGCTTTTATCCCTGCTTAAAACTGACAGTCAATAAATACTTCCAAGCAAACATAAGGCGCTGGGAATTGAAACTACAAAGCCAGGAACAGAACAGGCAACGGCTGCCCGTGAAGGGCTTACCATCAAATGCAGACACGGATCAAAGAAAAACAGGCACAGCGACCACAAACAATTCTGAGGACTCACTCTGCTTCTTGGCTTTGCTTTTCAGTTTAGGAACATTACCCTGAACACCACGGCGTTCTTTAAAACGTAATGAAAATGATAATATAAATACAGTGTCCTCGAGAAATATGCACGCTCCCTTCCAGTTCTGGGAGGACGATCACTGAGTCCACTGGGCTCTAGTTAATTGCCAAAAATCAGAAACTCACAGTCAGGTCCCCGGGTACGGGTACGAAGTCATAAAACGTGAAAAGAATGTCATTCTTGTAGCTTTTGCAAAGGTCTTACCACTTGGACTGTTTCTACGGAAAAAGCGACAACGAGAAATAAAATCCCTCGCGGGTTCGCATGAGCCACGGAGGAAGCTGAATTTTCTGGAGGCTGTTGAACTGAGGTAGTGAGTGGAAATAAACACCAAGCCAGGAGAGAGCAGAGAGGGGGGCTTACCAGGCTTGACAAACGACACCGTGATTCACACCCACTGCTGGGCTGTCTCTAATAAGCCACAGAGGAAGCAGCCAATCTCAGCTAATTACCAGATAAAAATGTATTGTAAGGACTCTAATTAGGAGACGCGGATGGAGGTGATCTAATGATTAAATGCTGCATTCGACTGACCCCACCGTCGACGTGCAGTGGTGTAAGATGTCACTGGAATATTTTGTAGAAACAGTCATTTTATTTCGAGGAGGGGAGGCAGTAATATTTGTAATGATGGCTATGAGGTAAACTAATTAAAAGACAGTTCCTAGAGGAAGAGGGTGGCGGAGAGCAGCTGTGGCCATTCCAAAACCAAGTGCCAAGTCTCAATAGAGGAGCTGCAGTCAAGTGGAAAATTTCTGCCTGACCTCTGCCCTTGCTATTAATTTGCAGGAAAACTAATGACACATATACATATTCCCACAAAATTGTTCTAATTGCTAATTTGCCAAAGGAGCCCAGATTCCAAATTAAACATGACTGGAGCCTGTGAGGGAAGAAAGAACAAAAAGCTGCAAACTCCAAACAGAGGGTGCTTTCGCCTCGCGAAATCATCTAAAGGCTGAACCAACAAGTTAATGAAATGTCAACCTTGTCAAGGGCTATAGAAGTTTCTTAACTTTTACACTTTTGTTCTCTGATCACATGCTAGTCTTGATGAGAAACCATCTTCGGGGAGGCAGGTCACGAGGGGGAGAGGACACGGAGCGGGGGAAGGTCTCAAAACCAGGCTCTGTGTTCAAACCAAACCTGCTCTCTTAATTAAGGTCTCTCTCTCTGAAAAAAGTGGACCCCCCCCCCCAATTAATTATCGGCTTAGAACAGAATAGCAAACCGGGAACGGTGAGGGTTTGGCTTGAAATATTCATCTTAATTGTAAACTATGAAATCTTAATATCATCATCAATTAGAAAGGAAAGCACAGGCCCCCTCGTGCTTCTGATCGCAGCAGAGGTTGGAAGAGGTAACTTTTTCCGGGGCACGGAGCAGGAAGGGACTGGACTAGGAGGGTTTCTTTTCCTATTTTTCTTATTGTGTTCATTTTCTGTTTAAACAGAAGTTGCTATGTTTAGAAAAGTTAGTAACTCTGATATTTTCTACATGGCAAGTTTCCATCATGTGATGATTTCGGCGAAGATAATCTCTTTGAAACTCTGGCCAAAAGCTAAATTCTTATGTCACTTAAAGCTGCCGCAGGGTTTTTTTTTTTCCTGTTCCCCCCTCCAACTTATGGGCACTCCCAACCATTGCCTCTTCTCCCAGTTCAGTTCCAGAGGGGCTGTCGTGGAAATCTTACCCATCCACACAACGAGACCTCTCTCAGCTGCCCGGTAACTCTGCTGAGCGCCCCCTTTTTGAAAGACCAATCTTGAGTTTTTCAGCAGTAACCTCCTCTCTCTCTCTTCAAGATTATGAGTCACTCACATTTTCAAAAATAAACAAACCGCTGATGTAAACCCCGGACAGAAACAGACCTGTCGTAAGCATTCCCATAAGAACTCACTTTTATTTTTGTTTGTGCTCTGGCCTCACATGAAAACAGAGTCTGAGAACAAAAGGCAAACCTGAAACCCAAACACTCAGGGACCCAGCCACTTAGCAGAGACTTTCAGGCTCACGGAACTCGTTTTTCTGCCCTGGGTTTTACTGGCCTGAGCGGATCAATCCTAGACATGAATCACTCGTGTTCAGAGAGGGCCTTCCTGAGGCTGGAGGGACATTACTAGATGGTGGAGAGGATGGACGGGGATGGCATTGGGGACCACTCTCTCTCCCTGATCCTGCTTCTGTCTTAGTGTCGTTGCAGGTGGAGGACAGTGACAGGGAAGCTGGTTGTCACTGACAGAGGTCCAGGGGATGGGAGACTTCACGAGAAACAATATAAACCTAGCTTGTGAGGGGGAGACTTGCGAATCTCTTTCTACGACAGCCGAATGGTATTTCTCCGACTCAAAAGCCAGGCTGCAGCAAACAGCCCAAAGGATCAACCATTTGCTTAACAGTGAAAAGACCCCCTTTTTCAGAGGGGGTGGGGGGAACACTGTTTTTATAGGAGCTAAAAACTATTTTCAAGCAGTCCTAATTGCTACGGTTGGAGGAAAAGAGAATGCGTAAAAAGGAACCTCTCATACTGCATTTCACTTCATAAAGCCAAGTTCCTGTGTTTTATAACAGTTTCATAAAGGATATGCTACCTACACTGCAATTACCTGCCCACCACGTCTGCAGGAATGCGGATCCTCCACGATCGGGAGCTGTGCTCTGCTGGGTCGGGACACCCTGGAGCAGAGGGCACCTCTCCTGTCCTTGGGATTATAAGATACAATTGATGGTCTTTTCCCGGCATCATGAGAGGGAAACGCCCTTTACCAAAATCTGTAACAACTTCATGAAGGATTAATACAGGCAGGCTTGTGGTGGTGGTGGTGATCGCTTTATCCTCTGAGTGAGGCCTCCCTGCGAGGAAATAACTCAGGAAACTCTCCCCGGAGTCGGCACGGAGACGTTCACCCCCAAGCGACCCACTGGGGCCTTTACCCTGAGAACATTACAGAGTGTAGAACAAAAGAATATCTTTCTCATTAGGACACTTTACGACGGCCTGATTTTTTCCACTCGTGCTTCTCTTCTTTCCGCTCGTGGAAAAGAGAAGCATCTTTTAAAACTCAAAAAGAAAAAAAGCAACACCTTTGGCCATGCTGAACGCCCGGCACTGGCTCTGCCCTCCGTGTCCCCCACAGCGAGAACCTAGAAGTCTGGGGCAGAGCTGCAGGCTGCACGGGGGTACAGCAATGAA